TAGAAGGTGCTTCCGAAACGTATAACTGCCATCTGAGCTAACTTTTTTCTTCATATAAAATGATATCACCCTAGAGGAGTAGAAAACGAATTGTATTCTTCAACAAGATGGAACGGGGTAGGCTGTTTAAGTGAACCGTGTGCTATCTTAAATTATGGGCTAATATTGCACAGTAAAATAAGTGAAAACTCACAGCTCTTTTTTATTTTGCCAAATTAACGACCCTTTCTGTTACTTAATCCTCTCAGCAGAACTAACTTGGTTTCAAATTTCAGGACTGGCTTTTCTCCTCATCCTTCTCTGCTCTTTATTCTATTTACTGCATTTATGCTCAGGAAATCTACAGAGCTGGAAATGCTGGACTCTCTCTCACATCCCAAAGCTGTTTATTGAGGCACAAGTTTGCACCAACAGCACAAGTTTGCCTTGTACTACTCGGCCAGTGGCTTGAATCCCCATGCTTTCCTGAAGGGGGGCGTCATCCATGCTAGCTCAGGTTCAGTCCTGGCCCAGCCTCAGGCAAAAAACTTCATTGTGTAGCGTTTCCTACAGTGATTATACAATCTGAACCCACTGTCCATAAAGATCACAAATATATTTCTTCCAGGACCTCGCAGTGAACATTTGTGGTATTACGGCAGCATTTATAAATGACAGCAGTGCTTGCAGCATTATGCACAATTCACATGTGTGTACCGCACATCAACTCTTGGCTCTGGCTTGTCTACCTTCCATGGTGAGGTGCAGCTGGTAGTCAGGCAGAATGGGATGTAGCTGTGGGCACTTCTTTTTTTGTTTTTTGTTAAAGGAAATATTTTTCTAAATAGAATTTCCAGCTATCTCTTAGCTCTCATTTCTCCCGAAAGATGGAGCTTGAATTCTTCAGGAGACACGGCCCTGGAAGGTATGTATATATTTAACTCTAAGATGCTGGGGGAAGGTCTTTGCCATCTCTCCTTTCTCTGGTTTATTTGTACAGGAACTTAATGCTTTTCTAAATGCTTTTATTACCTTCACAGTTCACATGATCCAACTTCACTAACAATTATTTGAGATGAGTATCAAAAAGAAATTCAAGCCAGTGGAGAACGTTGGCAGCCCTAACGTCAGAAGAGAACAAAATGTGTCAGATGTGATATATGAATATGGCATTTTTAACAACTGATCTCATAATGATTTCATAAAGCGCCAAGATTTACCACAAGACAAAACCACCTGAAGTGCTTCAAGCCAAACAACAAACATACACTCTTAAGAATTAAATGTTACTTGTACTGTTCACAAGCAGGATCCACCCCACAAGACCTTCTGCGAAAGGTGAAAGTTACCCCAGGGTTACAGAGCCCTTACACCACTTCAGCCCTACATGTCTTGCCAAATCTCACTAGCCAGGATAGTGCAAGAGGATGGATAGAAGCATTATTCTTCCCTGAAGACCATACAGTGGCAGCACAATTGCTCTGTGGCCACTTCTCAGGGCTAGAGTAGTCTCTTTACTGACTGCATCTATGCTTCTGGGGATGAGGGGTAGCGGAATGGCTAGAGGATGCATGGAGTGATACGAAGGTGCTGGAACTAGAGGTGCTGGGCGTGCAGTGGTAATAACAACCCAAATACATGATTTCCACCAGCAGCACCCCCACTATAAAAACTGTTCCAGCACCACCGGTGAGGTACCACTGTCTCCATCCCACTTCCAAATCCTCACAGTTCAGACACCCTGTGTGAGCTCAAGAAACCTTGTTTCCCTCCTGTACATTGGGACAGAGTTGGTGCGTAGGATCTTATGTGGACCATATGTACTGGGATGAATTTCACCCTTAATTTCCAATGCCACTAATACATTAATTTGTAAGGCACTAATACATTAATTTGAAAGTGCACATTAAAAAAAACAGTTGTCCTGAACGGGTTGTATGTGTCTGTTACAGCTGTCCCCCTGTTGGATTCCTTTTCCCCCTTCCTTTCTGTTTGTGCTGAGTGGCCGCCCTCCCCAGCCATGGAACTGACCAAAGTCACAGCCTGGCCCTGCTCATGGAAATGGCTTGTGCAGACTGACTGGAGCCATTGCTCTGCTCAGGGAGCTGGGGGCTTTTTCGCTCCTTTGTCTAGCTTCTTTGTTCGGACCCGGCTCGGTGTAGGGTGCTCTGCCCAGGTATGCAAGACCTAAAGTGGCCACATAGCTGAGCATATGAGTCATACCTGTGACTCAGAACTTGCCCAGACATGTCCTGTGCCTACCTGCAGTTTCCCTGCCTTCTCTCCTCACCTGGATCAAAGGGAACCAATCAAAGTTACTGGCGGGAAACTGCCTGAGTTTGCCCTTAAAACCAGACATTTTCTGATCAGACCCCCGGAGAAGGTCGTTGCTTTGCCACCTGGTCTGATCAGCTAGGGGTCTTTGGGGGGCCCTCTCCCCGCTCTCGTTTGTTTTTGAGCATACCCCCGTTTTTAAACTCCCCTCCCACGAACAACGAATTTGTGCCTGGAGATCTCCTGATTATTGTAAGCGAATCGAGTCCTCTCTGCGTCCTCTGATGCTGAAACTGCTGTTCCTGCTGCTGCTTTGGGGATTGGTAAGGAAAAACCTCTTGCACACTCCCCTTGTTCTGGCTGCTGGCTTTCTTTCCCCAGCAGGCAGACCCAAGCTAACTCCTTGGTCTGTATCTGTAATCTGCTTCTAGCTCCGCAGCGCCTTTGCTGCTAGAAATAAGCCTGCTTGCAGCCACCACTAGTTAAACACCCCGCCCCCAAGCTTGCCCGTGTCTCCCCTCGAATTCCCCAGTCACTCGTTGCAGTCTCTCTACTGTTTAAACTTGCAGCCTGTCTGCTCTGTGTGTGTCTCTCTCTCTCTCTTAATCCCTTCCCCCACGTGCTCACCCCGCTCCTACTGCTGCCAAACCTCAATTGTATTACTGAAGTCTAGCATAAAACCCCATTGGTTACCCTTTTTCTCTCTAACACCCCTCACATTTTACATTTGCACCACTGTGACACATTTTTACCTAGAGTTGTTGGTTATTTAACACATTTTACCCATCACTGTTAGTTGGTTATATGCTGCTGTGACACACCCTTTACATAGAAATTGTTAGCTGCCTGTTACATTTATACTTCAGTGTTAATTGGTTACCAACTGTATTGTACCCCACTATTGAAACCCCCTATCCTATTTACTAAAAGAAACTCCTCCCCAATTGTCTACCTTAACAAACCCCATACCCCTCACTATTGAATTTTCCCTCTTTTTGCATTTTCTTAATAAAGTTATTTTACACCCCACCAGTGCAGTAGTTGTCCCCCAAGATCCCCTACCTGCTGGCAGGGTCAGTATGCTAAGAGAGAAGTACTGTTAACCTGGGTTTCCAGGTAATGACAGCACACTGTAGGCTAGTGAATCCTTTCCAGTACTCTCAAGCCCAGAAACACCTCCTGCATAGGGTTTTTTTTTTTTTATGCAAAGGTCTGCTCTTTTCATTGTGCAAACAATGTGATTGCTGGTTTGACACTGCAGGCTACACTGGTTTTATGAAGGATTAAATGCCACCTGAGACATATTTATCCTAAATAAATCACAAATGGTAAACTGCAGCATGTCAGTGTCAACACCCTGTACTGCAGCAGAAAGGTTAGCCATACAGGACTAAGCACAGCTAAGAATTAGCATCCAAGCCGCAAGACCAAAGGCTACAGTTAACAGGAGAAATGATCAAGAAGAAATATTTCCACTGAAAAACATTCAGTTTTTGAACATCTGTGAGAGTCTTGCAGAGGGCCATCATTTTGTAAAGGTCACCTTTATCCTGATAACAAACGGGAGTTGATCCTGTCACTGTTTGCTGAAGACAGTATTTAAGAGTAAGTGAACAGCTTGTCACCTCTAAGAAAGATGAGCAAGTCAAACTCAGCTAATTATGAATCTCGGTGTCTAACTTGAAATTTACTTTTTTGGGGGGTCTGACACAGATACAACCTTAACGCCTGGGGGATGGGGGGGGGGGGGATGAAAAGCCAGCAGGATCTTCTAGCTTCAGAGTGAGGCACCTTTTCTATTCAACTCAACTCCCTCAGAAAAAACATTTTTTAAACAGTTGCTCCAAGAAGAAACTATTGTTTCACCTCTCCCCAACTTTCTTACACTTGATGATTTTAAGATATTAATCATGATAGGAGATGCAGTTATCTCTAGAATCTGCTTGGTTTATACCCTAAACACTTAGACAATTATATTAAGCATGCATGAGGCACACTTCAGAAATTAGATTCTTTTATCTTTATCTATCTATCTAGCCAGAGAAAGGGAAAGAGAAAATGCACAGACATAACCGATAGCATTCGTTTCCTGCTGCTGAATGCTAGTTTTGTTTATTGCTTAATATTAAAAATCATGATGCTTCTTTTTAATGCTAACATTTTATTTGAAAGAATCCTCCCCCAAAATCCCAACCAAACCCCCTTACCATTTTATATTTTACAATTTCTTTTTTAAAAGAAACAAAAGCAGTTGTATCAGGAAACAAATCTTTTCTACATGAACTTGCATTGAACAGTTGCAGTGTATCCACAACTAGATAATTGACATTCTGGTCTAAGCAAGAAATACAAGGTCACCTTTTTTCTACTTGTTAATGTCAATGTCAGAATTTTCATTAAAAAAATCCCTAACATTTCAAAAAGTCATTCACAAAATGAACTGCAAAATGGTATTTATGTGAAGCACTATTTGTAAGAAAAGCAAAACATTGACAGTGACAATATTTCCCCCCCCAAAATGAACATTTCATATGCAGGACTTTTATATCTGAAATTAAGTTGCAAGTAACAGGCATTAAGCCTTTTCTAAACCAAGACATTTTTTTTCTGAATACATGTATCAAGACTTTTCTAAAGTGTAGATTTTAGAGGTCTCTTACACAAAGTCCAATGCAAAACAATGAAAGAGTTAACTATAGTTAAAGAAAAATGATTCTCAGACACAAATTTAGAAAGGGTCATTATGCTGAGATGTTTTTGACAAGGGACATTTTAGAGCAAGACTTTAGAAAACCAAATGTCAGGCTTTCTGCCTTTGAAGAAGACAGGACAACACTTGTAGCATCCAACTTTACTTACAAACTGTCACCTCATATTTTTAACATGTGGTGTGATTTTGGTTTTTTAATTTTTTTGCTCACAAAATGTATATGTAAAGTGAAAAAATTATGTTTAGCATAACCACAAAAACAGTCAGACAAGGCATAAACCAGGAAATCACCCTGAACTCACAAAATAATCCAAACCAAACCAGAATCATATCTGACTCATTTGGGTGGGGGAAGGGGAGCTTTAGTCATTTTCTTACCATATTATGCCTGTTAATCATACTCAGATCAAATTTCTGTCCATTGTAACAAGATAATACCTTTTCTGTATACTCTTCCCAGTAGCTGACATTAACCTCACACAGCGAGGCTGGCACCTGGATGGAGGAATATCATATTATGAAGGTTTTACAAATTAAGTTCCTACACGTGTCTATTAATTTTCCAAGAAACAATTCTTCACGCTTCTTGTAGTTCATTACTATCTCCCTGGCCCTGAATTACTGTTGCTTGGGAGCCACTCTCTGTATAAATGACCATACTAGTTAACTGTTCTCCTGTTCCATCAGGGGATGCGGCTTCAGCATTTATAGCAGTCCCAGCTTCCAAAATCTCTTGAGACTCAGCTGTCTCTATCACAGTGTGTGAATACACACCAGTCTCATCCTGTATATCTTGTGGCAATTCTGTTACAATGTAATGGGTCGGACCTTCAGAGAAGTTGCCATGTGAATCCCGAACCATGGCTTGAGCTATTTCTTCTGTGACAATGATCTGTGAAATTTCTCCATCAGACTCAACTAAATCCATGTGCTCACTTTGGACACTGAGTGCATGGCTACCAGCTTCTTGCATTATTATCCGAGAGCCTTCTCCAGCCACCATATGCACTGTTCCTTCCTCATTTACAATGACCTGAGTGACACCTTCTTTCATCAGCTGGTCTGCTGCAGCCGTGTCACATACTGCAAACTGTAGTACTCCTTGGACCATTTTCTTGAAGGCAGCTTGAGCTCTCTCCTGAGATGCAATTATAGTAGATGGGTGAATGACTTGTGTCACTACTTCCATCGGTTCTATATCTTCCTGAGTCCCTTGAACTTCATGGAACATCTGTATTTCTTGTGTCTCGGTGTCATTAGGATTATTGGATTGCTCCTGATTTGTCATTTGTAACAACTCTTTGTGACTAGGCCTGGTTCTGTCGAGGAGGCCAGTTTTGTTTTCCACTTCACCCAGCTCTGTTACAGCACAAAGGAGGGCATCTAATGCTGAGGAGGACTCTGGAGGATGTACTGTAGCTTCTGATGTATCTAAAATTTCCTGTCTCATTATCTGTTGCACCACAGCATTACCGGAGTCAGACACTGCATCTATTGGGACAGCCTCCTCCAGATCAGTTCCCTCCACAGAGCCTTCTACCACTACCACTTGTGTCGCACCACCTGATAATTGCTCAGTGAGTATTTGTCCTGGAACCAGGCCACTCACATGAGAACCATTTTGACTTGTGGCTATAACTTGCCCATCTTCCGTAATATGCACCACCCTTGCCACCTGACCTGCCATTGCCAAAGTCTGAAGGGTAGCTGCTGCCGTTTCTTCCACAGAGGCATCAATTGCAAAGTCACCATCGTATCCTTGAATAATGATAACTTGCTGCACTTGTTCAGCTGATTGGGATTGTCTTCTGTTACTTCGAAGGGCCTTCTCTTTAACTGGAGAAATTTCTCCCAGGGCTGCTGCAGTGAAAGGACTGGTGGTCTCTACAAAGGTCGCTCCCTGACCCTTCAGTCGGCATTCGTAGGACTTGGATACAATGCCTAGGAAATAAAAAAAGTCTGTTAATAGGGAATCATGGCAAATATTTGTAGTTCACTATTTTAAACACAAAAAACTTTCCAATGCAATTTTTAAATTTCCCTGGCAGAGAGGTGTAATATGCAATTGAACAAAACCAATTTGCATGTTTTCCAATTTATTTATTTATAGAATCCAAATAATTGCTGCTGTTAACAATTCTGCAGAGTACTAACAATCTGAATTTGTTACTTTTAAAACATTCTGTATTAAGCAGCATACAAATACAGTATACAATTAAAAACCATTAACACCTTTATGAAAAAAACATATCTGTAGTACCGCTATTTTTGTAATTAATCGTATTTGCCTGTATTACATTAAGCACGGCTGGGTGTGATAATGTGCAACGTATCCTTTTCAGTATTCTGGTTTTCTTGGTAAATTAAAGGCCATATCTTTGTTTTGATGCGTTAGTTTCCTCCTCATTCCCCCACCCCAATTCCTTCCCCGACACACCTAACTGACATTATTCATTCGTCTAGTTAGTTGGAGGAAACATATAGCCTCACTCTGAACAGTGTATGCCGAAAAAATGCCAGCATGGGAATTGTCTCCTGATTGTTTTCATATAAGAGCTTCTCAATTTACAAGTAAAAAGATGTTTTTTCCAACTACTGTCTCTGCAAACCGAACCCAGATTTTGAGAGCCATTGCAGCTTCTTGTCCTTCTCATGCTTCATCATCCATGACTAGGGCCCTACCAAAAATTCATGGCTGTGAAGAATGTGTCACAGACCGAGAAATCTGGTCTCCCCTGTGAAATCTGCCCCGGGGAGGGGCAGGGCTGGGGGCGCCCCAGCCAGGGCTCCTAATGTGCACCAGGCTCCAGCTGCTAGTTCTGGCAGGGCTGGGGAGGGATAGGATTTTCTCTTCTCCTGCATGGGACATTCCTGGACCAGGTCAGACCCACCTCTGGGAACCTCCCTCAGCTGCAGGAAGCCCTGCACCGCCCGCCCTGCTTCCTGCCCCCATCACTCCTCAGCCACGGGGGGAAGGGGTCACTATACAGGGAGCAGCCACGGAGTTTCATCCAGCTGAGGGAGGTTCCTGGAGGTGGGTCTGACCTCAGTAGTGACCCCTGCAGGAGAAGAGGAAGTCCCGTCCCTCCCCAGCCTGGCTGGGACTAGCAGCTGGAGCCCTCTCTGGTGCACCCTGCCAAAAGAGCCGGAACGGAGGGTGGGGCAGGGACCATGCTCTCACTTAGCTATGTGGGCTGTGCAGGGCTAACAGGTGCAAAAAAAGCAGTAAAATCTTATTTTCGTCACAAAAGAGAGCAGCCAGGACTCTGAATGTATGCAAGGAGCAGGCGTGTTGTGCAGAAGGGCATCGTTTTTACATTTCAGAGTAGACCTTCACTTTCAGTTGCTGATTCTTTGAGCCAGTAAGTAGTAGGTGCTAATGAATGGCACAGTTGTTTTCCCACCTCAGAGTCCAAGCAAGTTGCTCCGTGACCTGGCCTTGGAGAATTCAATCGTCCGAAGTGCTGAGCCCATTGGTCCTAGACCCATAAAACACTGAAGTGTGTGCTTAAAGACAAAGAGAATAATTTCTTTAAGTTAAGCACATGCTTAGGTGCTTTGCTGGATCAGGGCCAAAGTGCTTAGCACCTTGCAGCAGCACCAAGCCTCAACAGCATGAAATACTAAGGTTAAGATCAAGCCAGGATCTCATACACATCAAGATAGTACTTGTGCCCATAAGACTGGGCTGTAGATGATCTATTATTTTTTAAAACTTCAAAGCTTTGGCTGGATAATTACGCTACAGAACACATGCATGAAGTCTGTTAAACTGAGACTGCAGATCAGCTTCAGGAATCTAAACTGGAGTTAGACAAGCTTCTTCATCTTAGCTTGCAAGGCAGGAGGGAGCTTTAATGGTTATTTTTGGAAAGGAAAATTAACAACTTAAACTGTTAAGGATTTCCAAATGATATTGCATGATTGATCTGGCACATGCTATTGAATTAAATTTTGGCAGGGATAAGCTATGGTGGTATCACTGTTATTTATCCTGTTATGTTTTTCTCTCTGTGGGCACTGACATACACAAGACCCCCAAACAAGAGAAAAATAGGAGGCAGAAATCAGTATCAAAGGATAATTATCAAAATAATCTTAACATGTCCATGTTTCATAATCACACAGGAGTAATTAATTCTCTCAGGAGTCTTCTTTGTTGACATGATACAAGATGGGTCTTGCAGTGATATGGCATGAAATCAAACTAAATCTACAAATCATAAGTATTCATTGGATATAGCAGAAACCACACCATCATTACCCTCAGAAAAAGGTAATTTAGGTACAGTAGAGATCATACTGTCATCACACTTAGGGAAAGGTCCAGTTTATGGGGGGAGGAAAGAAAAAGAAATGCTTCTTGTTCTTAGCCTCTAAAATAAATGCTGTATCTGTGAATCTATGCAACTCCAGTCTTTACTCTGCAATTGAATGGGAAGTCTCTTGGGTGTAGAGTTATCCAGTGAATTCCTTGCAGCACTGATAATTACGCCATTCTGACTGCTTACTTAATCTATTTGAATCCAGAGGTGAGTTAAGCCACTTCCTGACCATTAAAGTAAACTACATGGGTAAATACTGCTGTCACAAAGGGGGTGTGATGAAGCTTAACTACACCAACATCTTAACCTCAGCTCGGTGCAACCCCAGCTATTCCATCACAGTTCATAAATGCGATTGCAGGTCCATCTTTTGATTCAGCAATTTAATAACTTCGAGTGCTGTCAGTACAGCTTTGAAAAATGGCTCCTATAAAATGTAACAGCCTCAATCAGATTGTAAAAGATTCACCCACTGAAGATTCTTCCATTTCAACTATAATGAATTAATGTTGAGCTATGTAGAAGTTCAAGTGTCATTTAAACTAATGTGACTCTCCACTGCAACTTTAAATTTTAACTGGACTATGACCAAGAATTTACTGAGAACATCAACTTCAATTTTAGTGATCTTCATGGTAAATACGAATTGTATACTTCATAGGTTTTCTTTGTTTTGAAAGTGAAGAGCCAAATAGGGGAGATATTTAGGAAACAGTATGTTTTAAGGATTAGTTGCTATTATGACTTTGGGACAATACAGCTGTATAATGGGCACTGCTATTCAACATAATATTTTTACATTGTGTAAAGAAAATGTCGCATTACTCGACTGTATCAAGCAGCAAGTCACTTGTGTTACTAAAAACAAAAAAGGAATGGGGGGAGGGGAAGCTTTGATTGTCATGCCAAACACAAGCTAAAATACAAATGTACATTAATATTAGGAAAACTACACTTGCTGCTGCTGGTATGTCATTACAAATTGAAAAAATACACAAATAAACATTCAAAGGACAAAACAATGATGCAAGAGCTCATATTCAGAAAAAAATTGCAAAGAGGTGTTTCATATCTAGGGGTGCAATGATCAGAGAACTGGTTTCTTTCCACGAAGCCTGTCATTTTAACAGAGACATTATTTATCAGCTGGAGTCCTCAGTGATTGTTACTTTTTTATTTGAAAATGTCAAGATTTTAGACATTAAATCCATATTTCCAGGTTATTTTAATTCTCCGAGAGCACAAACTCCCCCAAATATGGCTAAAAGATAGGCTTTCATGTTTAATATGCTTTTGGGAAACTACAAATAGGGTTTAGTACTTTTTTTTTTCTTTTACTCAATACCTGACTTCTTTTGTGTGTGTGTGTGTGTGTGTGTGTTATTCTTTTGTTACTGTCATCATTTTTCCCCACAGAATAAATATCTTATTCTTTTGTTAAGCTTACATTTAATTAAAATGTACAGGATTTGTGCAGTAAACTCGAATGAAACAAATAAAACAAGGGCCCCTCTCTTGAAGGCATACGTTGTGAATGAAAAATGTCATTACAGACTAAAAAATTTTGCAGTAAACAGGGCCTACAGAGAGAAGTTTCCCCCGTAATGACATCCATAAAATACACAAATGGCACTTTTAGTACCATCCTGAATATGGCATTTTCTGTGCTCTACACACAATCTAAATGGTTTGATCATAGAGCATAATACTCCATTGGGTTTATAGAACAATCAATGTTCCATAAAATGATGTATTTATCCAATAGAAGGCTCAGCAGTTACTGGTGTATGACATTGTAGGACACTGGCTTTGTACTGTTCAGCAGCACACATGCTGGCTGTAAAACTTATCTAACACTACTTCAACAACTTCATCTCATCTGTGTCAAGTAATTTGTTGAAGCCTCAGCTTGGTTTAAAAAAACTTGTAATAAAAATTCATAGAATTTTCAAGAGAATGAAAGCTGATGACAATAGAAAGGTCACATTGTGTCTCTACTAAAGGGGTCAAGGGTCATTTGCAGTTCTAAAACAGAAAGTAGATTTCATGCATCGTGTAGCAGATAAAGATGGCATTAAAGAGACTTGTCTCAGAAAGAAATGCGTAATGTGTTAGGAAAGTCTGTGCTAATATTGTATGTAAACCACTACTTTGCTCTTAACGGGCGTTCCTTTAGATTTCTAAGCCTTTTCCAAAAGTTGTATTAAGTGGTTTTACACAGTGACACTAAGCCTAACCTACCCTTCACAATGCACTCACTAAAAATGAGGTATTAAATTGTAAATGTAATAATGGGCTGGTTTGTTATGACAATGGAAATTATCTGTGTTTGTATAGTAACGTATAGAGTTATTTTTCCTGATACTGTTAAACTTTTGTAGGGGCTGATATGGAGCATCATATTCAACAATGGCTAATTTTTGTGTACTTCAATTTCAAGGTACACCTCTACCTCGATATAACGCTGTCCTTGGGAGTCAAAAAATCTTGCCGCGTTATATTGAACTTGCTTTGATCCGCCGGAATGCGCAGCCCCCCCTCCCCGGAGCACTGCTTTACCGCGTTATATCCGAATTCATGTTACATTGGGGGGGTCATGTTATATTGAGGTAGCGG